ATCGCGGAACTGCAATAAGAAAAAGATAATCAGTAATAGTAAGTTTTTTTCAGGCTCATCCCTCCTCACCGGATATCCATTGATAGACATGACATGTCCATGATCGGCAGTGACCACAATTAGGGTATCCTCCTCAGGTCAGTTCACGAGCCACTTGCCACAGCTGGCAAACTCGGCGGTGTCCTCAAGGGATCTCCTAGCGTAGGTGTCATGATGAGCCATGTCAATGCGGGCGCCCTCGACGAACAGGAAGAATCCCTCGTCATTGCGTCGCAGAACCTTAATGGCGGCTTCCGTTAGCTCGCTCAGCGAAGGATCCGCCAACTGGCTGCGTTTCCGGTTCCTGTCTCCATTGTAGGGCAAGTGAGAGCTGGCAAAGAGACCTAGCAAATAGTCCGTTTTGTCCAGATCCACCAGGCTAAGACCCTTGCGACTCCACACATAATTGGCAGAGACATTAGCTTCCTGTTTGTGGGCCAACCAGTCGCGGATCAAGTGACGCCCATCGGTTCTATAACCAGGATAACCCTCCTCATCGTTCACGGTGGTATTGATAAAGTTCTGCCGCCCACCGCCGAGGATCACCTTGAGACCCTGACCCACCGGTTGCTCCACCAGCTGGCGGGCAATATCAAGTGTCTTCTCGGGATCACAATTCCTGTTGGCCACCTCCCAGTCATTCTCCCAGTTACGATCCGCGGTGTGGGCATAAACGCCGGCTGGAGAGGCATGTGTAACCGAGCGGTGGTCACCAGACCAGCATTCTTACCCGCAGCCTGAGCCCACTGAGCGATGCTTAGCACCTGGTTCTCCTCCAGTCGATCACCATCGCAGTTGTACCTCGGAACATTCGCATTTATGCCAATGGTTCCGTAGTTTCCTTTAACGCCGCCCAAATAAGCGGTGGCCGTGCAGGCGGAATCCGCCACTTGCCTGTTGACGCAGTACGTCTTGGAGAGACCCGTGTACGGGAAACCCTCAAAGTACACCTGCTCTGCACTGTCGCCCAGCAGATTCCGAGTGGCGGTCACCGTGTGCACGGACATGCCATCGCCCAGGAAGAGGATCACATTCTTGGCCTTGTTAGTGTGCGCTGCCTGGGATTCGGCCAGCTTGGACAGCAGCTTGGCCTGAGCCTTGTCCACCCAGTATTGCGACTGCTGCTCCTCGGCATTCTTGATGGATGTGCTTCGGGATCGAAGGAACGTCCTCGTGGGTGGTCTGGCAAAAGTGGGGCAACAAAGTTTGTAAGAAACACTTATTGAAGGCTAAAACCTCTATAAATCACTTCGGAGACTTGGGGATTTCTAAAATATATCACCGGGATTACGGAGTCTTATCTCTACGCAAGAGTTAGCATGTACTTTTCGATAACAAGTTATCTTCTAAGATTTTAGCTCAATAAAATAACTTCCTAAAAGTTAAAATAAAACAGGAAGTTGTACTTTTGAATTAAGCTTCATGATCGATTTCTGATTCTATCCCATAGTTTCATAGCAAACTGCAAGGATACATAAGCCTTGGCTTCCCGAAGTTAGTTTTCTTCTTATTACTTTACATTATTTTTAAAACTTTTATTAGTTGTTTTAAGCTGAAGACTTCTTACTAAAAAGTATGTTTATCCTTCGATTCCAATTTCTCAAAATCAAGACATCTTACCCCTTTGTCCGCTGACACTACCACTCAGCCAGATGGCCACGAGGAGAATCAAAATGAATCTTTTGGCCATTTTCCGCTAATCCCAAGTTACCCAAAGCGACTTGTGTGGAGACCAGACCTTGGTTACAGACTGAATCGACTGACCGGGCCCTCGAAATGGCCATCGCTGGCAGCTTATCGCCCTAAATATCACAGAATAAATCTAATCAAAAGAACTAATCTAGACGGTTCATTCAAACATCATTTATGGCTGACCAAGAATCAGTTAACAGAAGTCGTAGAAGGCAGCCAGCCAAATGGCCAATGCCAAAATATGCTCACGTGCCCAGGCCACAAACTTTATGAATCTCAGTGGACTCCAATCAATGATTGATTACGTGTAGAAGGAGTCATGCAATCGAGTTCAGTGAATGAAGCTAGGAGTCAGGATTCTGGAGTCTGGGAAATTGGAGACTGGAGCTGGAGTCTGGAAAATCAAACCCAAAACCTCTTTAGACTTTTTAACCAACTTTTTAAACAACTCTTTGGTGTTTACAGCAAATGCTTTATTTTTCAGACACACTTCAGTCTGTGGAATTTTATGGTATCCTTTTGGAATTTTGCCACTACAACTTTTGTGGCTTTGATTAAAAGAATTTTTGATTGTGCATTGTTTATAAATTTCTTGTTTGCATACTTTCGGGCTAGCTGGAAGCCACAAAAATAGTTGAGGGAAATACCAAGATACATATTCCTTTTTTATATTATAGTTTTGGCCAACGCCACAATGGAACCTGTAAATTTAATAACCTAAAAAAAGTCTTAAGTGAGCTAAAAGATATCTCTCCTTGTTAAGTATTAAACCCACCGCAGTGAAGACTGGCAGGGAAGGAGCAAAGAATGGAACTTTGACGGTAATGGGTCGTTGGGCTCGCAGGATAATCAGGAATACCCGACGACGTGTCCCCGATCCCCATTCATACCAGGCACTGCTATAGGCAGCTTCCCTAAGGAAAGGCTCTGCAAGAAGGAATAATATTCTAGTCTAGATTCTAAATAGAATGGGAAGAATATCTAATGAGACTAAGGACTCACCTTAGTGGCCATTTCTGTGCCTCCATAGCAGTAGAGAAATATAGCTGAGCAAACAGTGAATGTGTATACCACATACCGAATGATATTGTAGCCGGAATACTATTAAAATGTAATCAAATAAATATATAAATTAGATTACATATATATGCTTACCAGAAGTATGTCTATCAGACTGGTGCTATCACTAGACTGGTGACAGGAAATGCACAAATGTGGGCTCCCATGAGAACGAGAACGCTCGACATTCTCGATTTCATTATGACGATCCACGAATCGAAGCGATGACAGCATATTCACTATCTCTAGGTGAAGATCTAAAAACGAAAAGGAGGAATATATGAAATTAGTTAAACTAAGATATTACTTTAAAATTAATCCTATCCCTTGAAACCACTTCATCTTATTTCAAACTCAAATTATATTACCTTGAATAGGCCTAAGGGTATCCTGAATATCCCATTCCAGAGCCTGGAGCAGAAAGGCCACATAGAGGGAAAGCCAAAGAAGAAACCATCGGTGCCAGCAAAGGCAAAACTGTGACCTGACCACTCAAGTGGAGTACAGATCGAACAATGGAAACCAAGGCATTCGATGGGCAAAATCCGGAAATCTAAATATCAAGCAACCTATTAAAATATATATAAAACTAATACCAAGAACCTACAGCATTCGAAAGGGCATATCGAATTGAACTCCTGCCGGCGACGTGCATACATCTCCCAGAAGGATCGCAGGACAAAGCGCAGGTGTTGATGCTGCCCAGTGTGAAAACCATCATGCCACATCTAGTCACCATCACATAGCACTCCTTTGGGCCACATCTCGCCGCTTGTCCCGCCTCTTCTCCTGCTCTCCAATAAGCTGACGGATGCGCTCCATCAAGGCAGCCACCTCTGACAGCGCCACCACATCCAGCACAGCTTAAAGAGCGTGGTCAGGCTGCAGCCAGCGGGCAGAAGGCATCCATGGCATCCCACAGGACTCGTCCGCAGATGGCTCCAGCCAAAGACGACTCCGCCTGACAGCAGTGCGCCAGATTATGACATTGAAGACCAACCAAATCAGTTGCCACCACGACAATTGCTTCTGGCCGAAGCTCAGGCCCAGCAGACCAAAGGAGTATCTGGTCACGAAGAACAGATGCTTCGCCAGGGGATAGTTGCGGTCTAGAAATTTAGGATACATGTCTTTACTTTTGGAACAGCAGCTATTCCTTTATACAGAAGCAGAGCTCTAATGAGGAGCGTCTACTAATTGCTTAATAATTGTTTTACCCACGGAGAACACAGCACCTGGCGGGTGTTAATAACAGGATTATTGAATATCCCAATTGAGTGGTCAACACCCACCAAACACATGTCATGTATGGTCACAGGTGTTTAATCTAATAATTAACAATTGCTGAAGCGATGAGTATTACCATTTCAATTAGAATTAGATTGATCTGAAGAGCTACCACAACGTTTTGTTCCTTTAAAATTGACTAATGAAAGTCAACTTAAGTTCAAGTGAAATTCTCATAAATAAAGCATCCCTATATATGCAGATTCTTCGCTTTGGTTCAATAACCTTTGCCATTTATCTGGAAGTACTATAAATTCCTTTGACATTGATTCAGACAAGGACAAATGCCATAGATACATCTGTTATTCATATTCCGAGGAAAGTACTTGCTGAATAAAGGAAATGAAATAAGTTGTGAATGGGAAGCAGGAATTTCTCAATCTTCGAAGCCTGCTCTGTTTAAGGATACATTGCTGAAAACATTGATGACATTGGCCTATTGATGACATGTTTTGGTCTACAGGATGGTCCTCTGTCTTTGTGTAGTTTGTTGAACTCCCAATGAACTCGCGCCTCGAAATTGGAATTTCAAATCACTCAGCAATGTGGGTCAGCCGAGAAGAAACAATCAGAAAACAAAAATTCGTGTAGAATAGCATAAGGATTCGCGGCGCACACAGATTATGTTGATGCATGCAATCCGAGTGTGGATTCTCCTTTATTTTCTTTGGGCTGAATCACTTTTAATTAATTCTTTGTCCGGGGCCCACGTGGCGTATGAGTAATATTGATTTTCAATGGGGCAGCAAGGAACTCCCTCTCTCTCTCTCTCTCTGTCTCTCTCTTGATTATGATTATTTGCCAAGGAGTCGCGTATCTGAGTAGGAAGGAAAGGAAAAACATCCCCGCTCCCCAAGGCTGATATCATCATCATCGCAGGGCCACCACCCCCGAAAAGAAAACCCCAAGCTTTGGCGCCTCATTTTATGATGGCCCTGCAGCATTTGTTGGAGGGTGGAGGTGCGGCAAACCACCCCCGAAAAAGGCAACAAAGGTGACCCCGACACACCCTGTTGAGCTGTGCTGGAAAAGTTCACCCTGGAAGCCCAAGAAAAGCCATTACATTTGATTTTCCTGGCGCCCTGCGATCCTGCTGCAGGAAAATGAGGAAAACCTACCGTACCACACGTAGCATAGCAAGTGGAAAGCTAGAGGAGTGCCAGCTGGAAGCGAGGAAAAAGGAGGCCAGCGTGTCAGCGAGTCGCCAAAAAAAATAGAAGCAGAAAAAAACAGTTGCAGAACCCGAATGAAAACCCGTTTTCCCACTCGTCGCTGCTGGTTGGCCCACATTCGCCGTGTTGCTGTGGAAAATGGAAGCGAGTTTCCCAGTTTCCCCCCCCTTGAGCTGTACAAGAAAGCAAAGGTGCCCCGAAACAGGTTGATTTCCTGCCAACGCCGTTGGCCATTAGCCAAATGGGATTTCACACGCTTCCTTTTGGGCACCGACTCCAGCCGGGCTCGGGATCTCCGCTCTGATGCGTTCGCCTCACGCCATGTCCCAGTTGGAGTCGGAGCTGGAGCTGGAGCGGGAGTTGGAGGTGCTGTTGGTGCCTGTCAGCGCCACCCATCCAACATCCATCCCACTCAACTGCCATCATCATTGTCAACATCACCATCCAGTCATACAGTCATCCAGTCATCCATCCAGCCAGTCATCCATCTAGCCATACCAGTCCTTTAGCTGCAGGCGGATCAATTATTAAGGCGCCGCTCTGGAGGTGTGTGTGTGTGTTATGTGTGTGTGTGTGCGACAACCTGATTGACAACCTGAGCCTGGAGCCTCAGAGCCTCTCAGCACGTCATCCGATTGGCACAAAGCCCATATTCACGGTTGGCAATCAGTTCCAGGTGACAGATTAAGGGGAGTTTTAAGTGGAAGAAATATAAGGCTTTTATGAATGTCTTATTTATATAGTATAAGGTTGTTCTTGATTCAAATAAGGTTTATCTAGTTTTAATATATTTAATATATTTAAATAGAAAATATACCTATTTGTGCAACCTTACTGTAAAATTAGAGCACAATAATCATAGAATTTATTCAAATATTATTTTGCAATCTTTTATAGTTATCTCTCTCAGACATTAAGTCCAGTGTGGAACCAAAGTTTAAACAAAGATGACCTTTCTACTTGTTATACCCGCGGGTATTCAAATTTTATTCAGAAGCTTGATACACTGTAAAGGAGTCATTTCCCATAAATCATATATATATTCTTGATCAGCATCGCAAGCTGAGTCGATCTAGCCATCTTTGGGGAAAACAAAAATTTTAAAATTATTTTAAAATGTAAAAATTTTTAATTTTTTTTTAATATTAATGCAGTATACAGATTTATTACCCTAATAAAACTAACATAAGAATGCCGAATTGAAATCAATGCTTTTTGGCTTAGTTATGAATTTTTTAAACTTGCATTTGTCAAAAAAATTTCATATAAATTATTAAAATTATTATTTTAAGCTTAATTATGATCGATTTCGCATATGATCCTATAATTCAATTGGAAACTGTAAGGATTTATAATCCTTAGCTTCCCCATATTAGTTTTCTTTCTTGTTTTGTTAAATGTTGTTCGTAATATTTTAAAATACAAAACTTGTATGTTTTCACTTATTCCTGGAATTAAAGCATTTATAATAAACATGTACATATATATAATAATGGTTGCGAAAATTTCCTTTTCATTTCGTGTCAATCTTTA